GATGGATGGATGGATGGAGGGAGGGAGGGAGGGAGGGAGGGAGGGAGGGAGGGAGGGAGGGAGGGAGGGAGGGAGGGAGGGAGGGAGGGAGGGAGGGAGGGAGGGAGGGAGGGAGGGAGGGAGGGAGGGAGGGAGGGAGGAGGGAGGGAGGGAGGGAGGGAGGGAGGGAGGGAGGGAGGGAGGGAGGGAGGGAGGGAGGGAGGGAGGGAGGGAGGGAGGGAGGGAGGGAGGGAGGGAGGGAGGGAGGGAGGGAGGGAGGGAGGGAGGGAGGGAGGGAGGGAGGGGGAGGGGGGGGGGGGTGGGGAGGAGAAAGAGACGGACGAACAGGGAAGGAGATTTGAGGGAAATACTGTGAGGAGCAATTGGAGTGATAGGAAGTTGCTTGAGAGTAGGACTTTCAAATAAAAATGCGTATATTGATATATATATATATATGTTTATAAATATGTGCAGCATGCACCCTCTCCACTCTGGGGGCATGAAGCGGGGATAGCTCACTCACAGCATGAAGTGCGGATAGGTCACTCACAGCATGTAGAGCCAGTCCATTTGACTGGGCACGTCCAGGCCCGCAGAGAGGAAGTTGCCCATTAGAAAACTGCGCGTAGAGGAGGTGAGGAGACAGAGGCGAGGTGAGAGGTGCATTGCATTGAGGAAGTTTTGATTCGACTGAATTGTCACGTCCAGGCCAGGAGAGGAAGTTGCCCGTAAGAAAACTGTGTGTCGAGGAGGTGGGGAGCGAGTGTTGATGGTGAGAGGGAGGTGAATAGAGGAAGATTGACACATGATGAACGACAGAGATGCATGAAGCAGATGATGAACGACAGAGATGCATGAAGCAGATGATGAACGACAGAGATGCATGAAGCAGATGATGAACGACAGAGATGCATGAAGCAGATGATGAACGACAGAGATGCATGAAGCAGATGATGAACGACAGAGATGCATGAAGCAGATGATGAACGACAGAGATGCATGAAGCAGATGATGAACGACAGAGATGCATGAAGCAGATGATGAACGACAGAGATGCATGAAGCAGATGATGAACGACAGAGATGCATGAAGCAGATGATGAACGACAGAGATGCATGAAGCAGATGATGAACGACAGAGATGCATGAAGCAGATGATGAACGACAGAGATGCATGAAGCAGATGATGAACGACAGAGATGCATGAAGCAGATGATGAACGACAGAGATGCATGAAGCAGATGATGAACGACAGAGATGCATGAAGCAGATGATGAACGACAGAGATGCATGAAGCAGATGATGAACGACAGAGATGCATGAAGCAGATGATGAACGACAGAGATGCATGAAGCAGATGATGAACGACAGAGATGCATGAAGCAGATGATGAACGACAGAGATGCATGAAGCAGATGATGAACGACAGAGATGCATGAAGCAGATGATGAACGACAGAGATGCATGAAGCAGATGATGAACGACAGAGATGCATGAAGCAGATGATGAACGACAGAGATGCATGAAGCAGATGATGAACGACAGAGATGCATGAAGCAGATGATGAACGACAGAGATGCATGAAGCAGATGATGAACGACAGAGATGCATGAAGCAGATGATGAACGACAGAGATGCATGAAGCAGATGATGAACGACAGAGATGCATGAAGCAGATGATGAACGACAGAGATGCATGAAGCAGATGATGAACGACAGAGATGCATGAAGCAGATGATGAACGACAGAGATGCATGAAGCAGATGATGAACGACAGAGATGCATGAAGCAGATGATGAACGACAGAGATGCATGAAGCAGATGATGAACGACAGAGATGCATGAAGCAGATGATGAACGACAGAGATGCATGAAGCAGATGATGAACGACAGAGATGCATGAAGCAGATGATGAACGACAGAGATGCATGAAGCAGATGATGAACGACAGAGATGCATGAAGCAGATGATGAACGACAGAGATGCATGAAGCAGATGATGAACGACAGAGATGCATGAAGCAGATGATGAACGACAGAGATGCATGAAGCAGATGATGAACGACAGAGATGCATGAAGCAGATGATGAACGACAGAGATGCATGAAGCAGATGATGAACGACAGAGATGCATGAAGCAGATGATGAACGACAGAGATGCATGAAGCAGATGATGAACGACAGAGATGCATGAAGCAGATGATGAACGACAGAGATGCATGAAGCAGATGATGAACGACAGAGATGCATGAAGCAGATGATGAACGACAGAGATGCATGAAGCAGATGATGAACGACAGAGATGCATGAAGCAGATGATGAACGACAGAGATGCATGAAGCAGATGATGAACGACAGAGATGCATGAAGCAGATGATGAACGACAGAGATGCATGAAGCAGATGATGAACGACAGAGATGCATGAAGCAGATGATGAACGACAGAGATGCATGAAGCAGATGATGAACGACAGAGATGCATGAAGCAGATGATGAACGACAGAGATGCATGAAGCAGATGATGAACGACAGAGATGCATGAAGCAGATGATGAACGACAGAGATGCATGAAGCAGATGATGAACGACAGAGATGCATGAAGCAGATGATGAACGACAGAGATGCATGAAGCAGATGATGAACGACAGAGATGCATGAAGCAGATGATGAACGACAGAGATGCATGAAGCAGATGATGAACGACAGAGATGCATGAAGCAGATGATGAACGACAGAGATGCATGAAGCAGATGATGAACGACAGAGATGCATGAAGCAGATGATGAACGACAGAGATGCATGAAGCAGATGATGAACGACAGAGATGCATGAAGCAGATGATGAACGACAGAGATGCATGAAGCAGATGATGAACGACAGAGATGCATGAAGCAGATGATGAACGACAGAGATGCATGAAGCAGATGATGAACGACAGAGATGCATGAAGCAGATGATGAACGACAGAGATGCATGAAGCAGATGATGAACGACAGAGATGCATGAAGCAGATGATGAACGACAGAGATGCATGAAGCAGATGATGAACGACAGAGATGCATGAAGCAGATGATGAACGACAGAGATGCATGAAGCAGATGATGAACGACAGAGATGCATGAAGCAGATGATGAACGACAGAGATGCATGAAGCAGATGATGAACGACAGAGATGCATGAAGCAGATGATGAACGACAGAGATGCATGAAGCAGATGATGAACGACAGAGATGCATGAAGCAGATGATGAACGACAGAGATGCATGAAGCAGATGATGAACGACAGAGATGCATGAAGCAGATGATGAACGACAGAGATGCATGAAGCAGATGATGAACGACAGAGATGCATGAAGCAGATGATGAACGACAGAGATGCATGAAGCAGATGATGAACGACAGAGATGCATGAAGCAGATGATGAACGACAGAGATGCATGAAGCAGATGATGAACGACAGAGATGCATGAAGCAGATGATGAACGACAGAGATGCATGAAGCAGATGATGAACGACAGAGATGCATGAAGCAGATGATGAACGACAGAGATGCATGAAGCAGATGATGAACGACAGAGATGCATGAAGCAGATGATGAACGACAGAGATGCATGAAGCAGATGATGAACGACAGAGATGATTGAAGCAGATGATGAACGACAGAGATGCATGAAGCAGATGATGAACGACAGAGATGCATGAAGCAGATGATGAACGACAGAGATGCATGAAGCAGATGATGAACGACAGAGATGCATGAAGCAGATGATGAACGACAGAGATGCATGAAGCAGATGATGAACGACAGAGATGCATGAAGCAGATGATGAACGACAGAGATGCATGAAGCAGATGATGAACGACAGAGATGCATGAAGCAGATGATGAACGACAGAGATGCATGAAGCAGATGATGAACGACAGAGATGCATGAAGCAGATGATGAACGACAGAGATGCATGAAGCAGATGATGAACGACAGAGATGCATGAAGCAGATGATGAACGACAGAGATGCATGAAGCAGATGATGAACGACAGAGATGCATGAAGCAGATGATGAACGACAGAGATGCATGAAGCAGATGATGAACGACAGAGATGCATGAAGCAGATGATGAACGACAGAGATGCATGAAGCAGATGATGAACGACAGAGATGCATGAAGCAGATGATGAACGACAGAGATGCATGAAGCAGATGATGAACGACAGAGATGCATGAAGCAGATGATGAACGACAGAGATGCATGAAGCAGATGATGAACGACAGAGATGCATGAAGCAGATGATGAACGACAGAGATGCATGAAGCAGATGATGAACGACAGAGATGCATGAAGCAGATGATGAACGACAGAGATGCATGAAGCAGATGATGAACGACAGAGATGCATGAAGCAGATGATGAACGACAGAGATGCATGAAGCAGATGATGAACGACAGAGATGCATGAAGCAGATGATGAACGACAGAGATGCATGAAGCAGATGATGAACGACAGAGATGCATGAAGCAGATGATGAACGACAGAGATGCATGAAGCAGATGATGAACGACAGAGATGCATGAAGCAGATGATGAACGACAGAGATGCATGAAGCAGATGATGAACGACAGAGATGCATGAAGCACATGATGGACGACAGAGATGCATGAAGCACATGATGGACGACAGAGATGCATGAAGCAGATGGAAGAAGCAAATACAGAGACCGCAGACGAACGGGTGAGCTGATTTGAAAGGACACAACGAGGGTGCACGAAGAGGGAGGGTGGGAGAGGAGGGTGGGAGAGGAGGGTGGGAGAGGAGGGTGGGAGAGGAGGGTGGGAGAAGAGGGTGGGGAAGAAGGCTGTATGAGCGATAGGATGAGGATGAGAGAACAGCGGGAGGGGGTGCGTACAGCTCGGCGACACCTTGAGTGTTGTGAGCTGAGCGGGTGGCTTTGGAGTCGCCTCAAAAGCCGATAGGAAGGGGTTCACTTCAGACAGAGAAGGGGGGAGGGGGGGAGGGGGTACGCACAGTTCGGTGACTCCGGTGAGTGCTGTGAGCTGAGCGGGAATGGCTCCCGTGAATATGTTGCTCTTCAGCTCACTGTGTGAGTGGGAAGAGAGAGGGGGAGGGGGAAGCGAGCAGGTGAGGAGGATAGGGTGAAAGGACAAGGCTGAGAGGGAGAGGATGAATGAAAGAAAGATGGTAATTGGTTAAAGGTGAGAAAAAGAGGAGGAAAAGGAGATGAACGGGGAAGGGTGAGAGATGGTGACAGATGACGAGCAGAGGGGAGAAAGACCGGTGGAATTGAGCTTACTAGTGGCAAAATGAAGTGGGCACAGGGGGCATCGCTGCATCACACGGAGCACAAGGAGCAGAGGGAGCAGGAGGAGCAGGAGTGGGAGTGTGGGGGCGGACTGACAGGTTGGTGAGCAGAGTGAGGGAGCCCAGGAAGGAGGGAATGCTGCCCTGGAACCTGTTTCCCCCCAGCTGCCTGCCAGTGGTGCGTAAGTGCCGGGGGGTTGGGACGCAGAGCTGTTTTAAAACCTTGCTGCCAGCAGCAGACTGACAGTGGGTGCAGGGGAGGATATGCAGAGGCGGGCAGCATGCATGTGCAGTGATAAGTGACGGGCGCCCTATGGTGATAAGCGACTGTCAGTCCACACACTGCAGTGCAGGGACGGCACTGAGCAGAGCACTCACTCACACAGTCTGTAGCACTCGCAGTGACTGCAACACTTACATGGGGGGGTGGGCATAGAATCCGCGCAACACTCAAATGGGGAATGAGCGCATGGCATGGGCGCAGCCGTGAGCACTCACAGTGACTCGAGCGTGGTGCTGAAGACGTCAGGCAACGATCCTGAGAGCTGATTCAGGCCGAGGTTGCTGGTGGTGCAAGGACGGGCGTGAGGGTAGGGGATACGACGCATGTACGCACACATGCACATGCACACATGCAGATGCACACACGTAGAATCACATGCACATGCACATGCAGAAGCACATACAGCTGAGGAAACATGCATGCACGCACACAGCATGTATGCTGGGAGCAGGCACAGGCACAGGCACAGGCACGGGCACGGGCACGGGCACGGGCACGGGCACGGGCACGGGCACGGGCACGGGCACGGGCACGGGCACGGGCACGGGCACGGGCACGGGCACGGGCACGGGCACGAGCAGGCACAGGCACAGGCACAGGCACAGGCACAGGCACAGGCACAGGCACAGGCACAGGCACAGGCACAGGCACAGGCACAGGCACGGGCACGGGCACGGGCACGGGCACGGGCACGAGCAGGCACAGGCACAGGCACAGGCACAGGCACAGGCACAGGCACAGGCACAGGCACAGGCATAGGCACAGGCACAGGCACCGGTGCAGGCACTGGCACAGGGTGGGGACTGACAGTGACTTGAGCGAGCGGAGGGAGGAGAACTGGCGCGGGATGGACCCCACCAGCTGGTTGTACTGGAGTGACCTGCTCAGAGGAGAGGATAGAGGGTTGGGAAAGAAGACATGCGGGCAAGGGCCGATAGGCGATCCGAGACAATGGGTGGGAGGCTGATAGGGTCAGGTCAGCACGGCAGGTAGGGCGAGATTGTGGATTCAAGAGCTTCACGAGGGAAAAGTGGTGATGTGGATGATCATGCTTTTCTGAAAAAAATCCAAGGGATGAAGAAATGTGGGACTGCAGATCCAGCAGATCCTGTTAGAATACCATCCTCACTTGTAACCTGCATCTATCCTATAAGCTACGGCTAGAGGTAGACACCCAAATGTAGTTTGGGTGTAGAGCTAGGGCTAACCCTAATTGGGGGTTGGAACTCAACACTTGGCCCCCAAGGTTGGGTTGGGAATTATTGGCCCCCCCAATAATGTTGAACCACCTTTGGTCAACATTATTGGTCCCCCCAATAACTCCTCAACCCAACTTATTGGTGGGGGCCAATAATGTTGGCTAGGCTCCCAACCAAACCATCCCTCCTAGCACAACTATGTATACCCCTTCTATTCCTAATATCATCAACGGTTCATCTTCACAATTTCTCACATGGTATCAGAGCCACACGGCTAACACCTTCTTCGATCCTAGGAACCATACCTCCGCGTGCTAAATCACGCCCATTCCCCTCACACGACAACTAAGTCGTACTTAGTGCCTAGTGCACGCCTACGCCCTCACGGCCCCCCTCCCCCCTACGCGAAATCTCTGCCCAATCTCCGTTCTCACGGTCAGATTTGCCGCTTAAGGCCCCCCTCCCCCCCTTTCCGCCACCACGACGCGATTTCGACCGCCACAAACCCTAATCGGGGGCGACCGCCACAAACGCGACGAACACGAACGCCCTCCGCGGATTAGGGTTTCACGGGCTACCGCCGCGAACGCGACGAACGCGGGCGACCGCCACGGACGCGACGAACGCGGGCGACCGCCGCGGACGCGACGAACGCGGGCGACCGCCGCGGACGCGACGACCGCGGGCGACCGCCGCGGACGCGACGAACGCGGGCGACCGCCGCGGACGCGACGAACGCGGGCGACCGCCGCGGACGCGACGACCGCGGGCGACAGCCGCGGACGCGACGACTGCGGGCGACCGCCGCGGACGCGACGACAGCGGGCGACCGCCGCGGACGCGTCGATCGCAGGCGACCGCCACGGACGCGACGACCGCGAGCGACCGTCGCGGACGCCACGACCGCGGGCGACCGCCGCGGCCGCGACGAACGCGGGCGACCGCCGCGGCCTCGACCAGCGGAGGCGACCGCCGCGGACTCGACCAGCGGAGGCGACCGCCGCGGACGCGACCAGCGGAGGCGACCACCGCGGACGCGACCAGCGGAGGCGACCGCCGCGGACGCGACCAGCGGAGGCGACCGCCGCGGACGCGACCAGCGGAGGCGACCGCCGCGGACGCGACCAGCGGAGGCGACCGCCGCGGACGCGACCAGCGGAGGCGACCGCTGCGGAGGCGATCAGCGGAGGCGACCAGGCTTAGCCGCGGGCAACGCGACCTGACACAGCTGTGGGCGACAGGATCAGGCGCAACAGTGAGCGACGCGACTAGGCGCAGCCTCTCGACCGCACCACCCCTCCAGGTGGTGTCGTCACCCAGATTGACCGCACCCGCCCTCCAGCCGGTGTCGTCACCCCCTCCCCCCTCCTCCCCCTCATGGCGGACGACTCTACTCCCATTGAGCTCGGAGCTATCGACAAGCTCGAGCTCCTTCATGATACCACCGCTGTGAACTGGGCGTCGTTCGAGGATACACTCCACACCCACCTTGGCTCTGTCATCATCCAGGACTACTGTCTTCTTGACATAGTCCTTGAACACCCTAACGGCCTTCCACCCGTTCTCCCTCCTCCTCTTGATCCGCCCCCCCCCCGAAGCCCCTCCACGTCCAGAACCTATTGGCCCCGCCCCCCATGCTCCAGTTCATGATGATAACCCAGACCGCTGGGCGGCCAACTTGAACAACTACAATAAGCTACGTGACAACTACACTATCCAGCGTGAGGCATACCGTGTTGCTGAGGAAGCCCATGCTATCGCCACTGAGCGCATTCTCCAGTACGAAAAGGATGAGAGGGATCATGCTGCAGAGCTGCGCAAACTTCACAAGGATGTCGCAGCATGGCGTGTCGCGGATCGACGCGCTCTCGCCATCATCTTCTCCTACATTCCCCCACACCTCAAACGTGACCTCCGACCCACTTCCTCCTCCAGCCTCTGGAAAACTCTCTCCACTCAGTATGATCGCCAGGATCTTCGCTCCCTCCTTGCTCTCTTTCGTAAATTCCAAGACACCACTCTTGACTCCTCTCCCACAGCTGCTGCCTACACCCGCCGGCTCATTGATACTGCACAACGCCTAAACGATCGGGGCATTGTCATCTCTGAATCTCTCCTCACTGCACGCATTCTCGACTGCCTCCCCCCCACATATGACACATACCGCATCACCTTTACCTCCCGCTACCGCCACCCTCCTCCTGTGACCGACACCATCGAATGGCTACTTGACAGTGAAGCAGACCTTCAACGTGACTCCACCACTATCAATGCAGTTCAGACTCGCAACACCCCCGCCGGCAACCAGACCAACGGCGTCAGTGGCAGCCAAGGCGGTACTGGCGGTGGTGGAGGCAGCCGTGGTGGTGGACGTGGTGGAGGACGAGGAGGAGGACGCAGTGGTGGACGCGGTGGTGGCCGTGGTGGACGTGGCGGAAACGCCTCACCTTCGGGCACCCTTCCCCCGTGTCAGTACATCATTCGCTATGGCTCCAACAAAGGTCAGCCATGCTCTCAGACCACTCACACCACTGACACGTGCTTCAAAGCCCTCACTGACGAGTGGTTCGCACGTGGCAACGTTGGCACTCCACCTCGGTGGAACACTGTCTTCCCACGCCCCTCTCTCCATGACATACGCACTCTCCCCGCCTATCAACCCTCTACTCCTAACCTTCACAATGTCCTCGCTCAGCATCTCCCATCTCACATCCTTCAGCAAGTTCAGCAGCTTCTCCCCTAGTCCACCCCCACTCCCATCACTCCCACTCCTCCTCCACCCACACCTCCGCCTCCAGTCCCTCCCACTCACTATCCCCCACCCTATGCTGGCTGGCCTTATCCTCCCTATGCTGGATATGGCCCTGGCCCCCCAGCACCTGCTGCTACTGCTACTGAACAGACCTCCTCCTCGAACAACCCTCCTGGCTTTACTCCGTTCCCCTCTGCTGGCTTCATAGGACATGTGAACTCTGCTCCTACTGATTCTCTGTATGCCCATGCTATTAATGAGTCTCTTTTCCAGTACTCCGCCTTTTCCTCCTCCTCCTCACGCCTTGAGTTTATCATTGACAGTGGAGCGACACACACTGTTCTGCGCGATGCAGGCACACTGGTACCCCTCCCCACTCCCTCCACTATCCACGGAGCTGACTCCAGTTTCACCATCTCTAGTCAACACACCTCCACCCTCCCCTGTCCCATCTTCCCCTCAGGTACCGTCACAGGTCTCTACATCCCCTCCCTACGTAACAATCTGGTAGCAATATGTGACCTCACTAGGTTCAATGTCACCGCCCTCTTCCCCGGTCATGCACTCTACTGCGACCTCTTTCACACCACCACTGGCCGCTTCATCTGTCGCATTCCCCTCTGCCCTCGCACAAACCTGTATACGTACCGCACACCTCGCACCTCCATTCACCACCTCATCGCCCCCACATCACCCCTTCCCCTCCCCTCACCTCCCCCCCCCCTTCCCATCCCCTCCCCCATCCCCTCCCCCATCCCCTCCCCCCCCTCCCCTCCCCTCCTCTTCCCCCCCCCCCCCCCCCCCCCCCCCCCCCCTCCTCCACCTCCTCCTGTCACTGTCGTGACCTCACCCACCCCGCAGTCCTCCTTCACCATAGGTTGGGTCATCCCAACTTTGCCACCCTCCGTCAAACTGTCTCCACCCAACTCCTCGCAGACTCCCCCTCACCCTTCCCCCTCTCCCCCCGTCACCCTCCCCTCCCTGCTCAGTGTGCATTGAAAGCAAACTGAAACAGGCCCCCCACAAGAGCCATCCCTCCTTTTCCCCCCAGCCTCTTGATCTCGTCCACATGGACCTTTGGGGTCCCAACCCTTCCCCCACCAGGCAAGGTCATAAATACCTGCTCATCCTGGTGGATGACCACAGCCGCTACTCCTCCGTCTCCCTCCTTCGCACGAAAGCGGAGGCTCCAGCTGCTATCATTGCCTGGGCTGAACAAGCACGCACCCATTTCAAACGCCCTGTCTCCCGCTTCCACTCTGATGGCGGTGGTGAGTTCCTTAACAACATGCTCTCCTCCTACTGCACCACTCATGGCATCATTCACACCTACACCCTGCCTCATTCCCCTCAGCAGAATGGTGTGGCGGAAAGTAGGGTCCGCGAAGTCACCAAGACTGCTCGGTGTCTCATGGTCCATGCCTCCTGCCCGCCCTCTCTCTGGGGCTATGCCATCCTCCACGCTGCCATCCTCACTAACTTATACCCTCATCCCTCCCGGCCCACCACCACTCCCACTGCACTCTGGACATCCAAAAAGCCCGACATCACCCCCCTGCGCGTATGGGGTTCCAAGGCGTATGTTCTCATACACCCTGCCGACCGCTCACGCAAAGCTGGGAAGCTAGCCTCCCGCACTCTCCCCTGCATTTTCCTTGGTCACAACACCTCCTCCCCGGACTATCTCTTCCTCCATCCCCCCTCAGGTCGCCTCATTCGTAGTCGGGATGTGGAATTCGATGAAGCCCACCCGTACTACACCTCCCCCAATGTCCCTAACCCCCTCCCTCTAACCACCTGTCCCCTCCTCTGGACTGACACCATTCCCCCCCCACCTCCTCTCCCCTCCCCTTCCCTTCTCCCCCCTCCCACCATTGTCCCACCTGCACCCCCACCCTCTCCCCACTCTCCCCCCGCCTCATCAGGAGACATCCTTGACCCCGTCCACCCTCCCTCCCCACCCGCTGCCCCTCCCCCTCCCCATCCCTCCCCACCCCCTACCCCTCCCTCACCCGCTCCCCCTCCCCATCCCTCCCCACCCCCTCCCCCTCCTTCACCCGCTGCCCCTCCACATCCCTCCCCACCCCCTCCCCCTCCCTCCCCCCATACACAACATTCCCCACCTCCCCCCTCGCAACGCCCTCCCCCACTCACTCCACCTCCTTCCTCCCGGCCCATACTTCCCACTCCCCCTTTCATACTCCGCCACTACCCTCACACCCGGTCCACGGTCCCCATTCTCGGTACCCCAAGGTCCACCCCTTCCTCCATCCAGTCTCTCACATCCACCCCCCTTCTCCGCCACCATAGCACCTCCCCTCCCCCCCGCACCAGCCCCTCAGGTTCTCTCAGCAATCGCGCTCCCGTATCTCTGCCCCTCACGGCAACTCAGCGAAGCCGAGCTACAATGCAGCTGTCTCCCCGCCCCAACCCTCAGCGCAGCAGAGCACCAGTGCAGCTGTGTCCCTGCATTGGCCCGACCCTCCAGCGCAGCTGTCTTTCCACTCCACCACCTCCTCTCCCTCCTCCTCTCACTCCGGACCTCTCTGAAGACTCTCATGATGAGCTAATGTTCCTCCACCTTCTCTCACCCACAGTCGCCCCCGTCGTCCGCACAATGGCTGGCACCACTGTTCTTCTCTTCTCCAACACCCCCACCATCTACGAACCCACCACCTATGAGCAAGCACTTGCCTGCCTTGATGCTCCTCTCTGGATCGAGGCCATGGTCAAAGAATGCAGCGCCTTCATCAGCAACCGCTCGTTTATCGACGTCCCTCGTCCCTCTAAGCACAACGTGGTCCAAGGCAGGTGGCTTTTTCGAGTCAAACTACTCCCTGGCGACGCCCCGGTGTACAAGGCTCGATATGTGGCAAAGGGCTTCACACATACCTATGGCTCAGACTTCTTCGAGACCTATTCGCCCACCGCCACTCCACCAGTCATCCGCGTGTTTTTGGACTTCGTTGGGAGACGTGGAATGATACTTCACTCCATGGATGTCACCACCGCCTTTCTACAAGGCGACCTTCACGAACTCATCTTTCTGGAACGACCCAAAGGCTTCCACGCCCCTCACGACCCTACCACTGTTTGGAAGCTGCTACGCCCTGTCTACGGGCTCAAACAAGCACCTCGGGAATGGCACGCCAAACTCTCCTCCACCCTTCGCGAACTTGGCTTTCGCCCCTCTCGTGCCGCCTCCTGCCTCTTCCTGCGCCTCACCCCATCACCCTTCTTCATCCTCGTCTACGTCGACGACATGCTGCTGGCCGCTGACACAGCTGCTGAACTTCAGGAGGTCAAGGATGAGCTGCAGAAACGTCTCAACTGCAAAGACTTGGGGGAGGTCCGCAACTACCTCGGCATGGAGATCACTCGCGACCTCGCAGCCAAGACCATCACCCTCTCTCAATCTTTCTACATCGAGAAGATTCTTGAGAGGTTTGGCATGAAAACCTGCAAACCCATCCCCACACCACTTGCATTCGGGCATCGGCTCTCCCCTCCCACCGCCCCTGTCACCTCCCCTCATCCCTATGCAGAACTCGTTGGGGCCCTGATGTACGCCATGGTCTGCACTCGTCCCGACCTTGCATACCCAGTCAGTGTTTTGGCGCAGTTCGTTGGCACCGGCAGGCATGGTGAAGAGCATTGGAAGGCGGCCATGCGGGTTCTTCGCTACCTACAAGGCACAAAGGACCATGTCCTCACTCTTGGTGGTGTGAACCCACCCATTCTTCAAGGCTTCAGCGACTCATCTTGGGCCGACGCACAGCCCGACCGTCGCAGCTCCCAAGGATATGGCTTTACACTTGGAAGTGGCCTCATCAGTTGGCGCTCCACCCGCTCTTCCTCCGTCGCCCTCTCCTCATGCGAAGCCGAATTGTACGCAATCACGATGGCGGCTCAGGAGGCACGCTGGCTCAGCTATCTGCTCACCGACCTTGGTTCCCCACAGCCCTGCCCCACGTTGTGGTGTGACAACGACAGTACCATCCACCTCACCAAAGAAGCCGTCTTTCATGGTCGCTCCAAACACATCGAGCTTCGCTACTACTTCGTTCGTGACCTTGTCCAGGACAGTCACGTCACCGTTCGCAAGATCGCCTCCTACGACAACCTCGCAGATCTTTTCACCAAGGCTCTCCCCCGTTCTAACCACTCTGCGCTTCTACGCCTTCAGGGACTTGCTCCCCGCGGTGGCTGATTCAGGGGTTGTTCCCTTCCCTCTTCCACAGCTTATGGATTTCTGCTGGTTAAGGGGTTGTGTTAGAATACCATCCTCACTTGTAACCTGCATCTATCCTATAAGCTACGGCTAGAGGTAGACACCCAAATGTAGTTTGGGTGTAGAGCTAGGGCTAACCCTAATTGGGGGTTGGAACTCAACACTTGGCCCCCAAGGTTGGGTTGGGAATTATTGGCCCCCCCAATAATGTTGACCCACTTTTGGTCAACATTATTGGTCCCCCCAATAAATTCCTCAACTCAACTTATTGGTGGGGGAAAATAATGTTGGCTAGGCTCCCAACCAAACCATCCCTCCTAGCACAACTATGTATACCCCTTCTATTCCTAATGTCATCAATGGTTCATCTTCACAATTTCTCACAGATCCCTCTATATTTGAGTCTACAGCTAGCAGTGCAGCTCATAACGCGGACAGAGGGGCTCACAGCGTGGTGAGGTTGGTGAGGGAGCCCCATGACTCAGGCAGGAAGCCCACCAGCCCGTTGCCATTGGCCTTGCTGCCGTGGGCGGTAGGCGAGTTGGGGATGAGCGGGTGGGTGAAGGGCGGGTGGGTGATGGGTGAGTGGTGGGATGGTCGGGGGGCAGGGAAAGGGGCACGAGGAGAATCTGCTATCCTTACTGCACTGCACAAAGAGTGTGACTCAGAAGGACATTTGTCCAGGCGGGGCCGGCATGAGGACACTAATTCTCACATGGATGTGATGTGATGTGATGTGATGTGATGTGATGTGATGTGATGTGATGTGATGTGATGTGATGTGATGTGATGTGATGTGATGTGATGTGATGTGAGTCACACATGGGTGCTGCCCTAAGCTCACACGTGGGTGCTGCCCTAAGCTCACACGCATGCTGCCCTAGTGTATTGAGAGAAGCACATGAGGGGACTGACAAGAACTCCAGATGGGAGAGCAGCGAGAGGTCCTGAGGAACAGCCCCGGTGCGCAGGTTGGCATCGTGAGTCACGTCGCTGTGGCGGGGCGATGCGAGGGGCGGATTAGGGGCACACGCACACATGGAGGGGCACGCGGACACATGGGAGGGTCAAGAAGGGGGTGAAGGGAGTGACACAAGGTGAGATAAGTCCTGCGGAACAGCCCTTGTGCGCAGGTTGGCGTCATGAGTCATCAGGTTGGCGTCATGAGTTATCAGGTTGGCGTCATGAGTCATCAGGTTGGCGTCATGAGTCATCAGGTTGGCGTGAATGAAGAGAAGAGGGACGGGAAGGAGAATGGTCAAGAGGAGAGGAACGTAGTGGATTGCGTTCAAAGGACAAGGGGGCAATGTGGACGAGAGGATTTGTCTGTAGAGAGAGAGTGACGAATGCAGAGACCAAGTGAGTTGCACCTCGCGACCAGACAGATTGTTTCAAGAAAAATGCGTGTGTGGATTCTGCATCGCCACAGTCCAGTACGGGCAAGGCAATAGGAGGACGTACAGGTATCGCAGTTCGGAAAGCGCTGTGAGCCAGAAAGGAAGCTGCTTGAAACGGAGAAAAGACAAGTCCCTGAAGGGAGGGGAAGGCAGTGCAACAGTGACTGAAGGCATGGCGCTACGGCGTCACTACCAGGAAGCTGAATGTTACGCGTTCCGAATTCAGATTTCATATTTCAAATTTCAGTTTTCAAGTTTCAGCTTTCAAGTTTCACGTGTGAGAAAGTCTGATCAGAACTAAAGCCACTGGGGCAATGGAGTGGGTAGAACACAGCAGCGCAGAGCAGGACACAGCAGCACAGACACGAGCAGGCAAGCAGAGCACATGTGAACGGCAAGAGATAAGGGCAACAGGTGGGTGCAGTGGGGTTTACAGGTAGGTGAGGTTCTGCAGGAGAGCGAGGGAGACAGGCAGCTCTCCCCACATGTGCATGTCGCTGAATGTGCTGTGAACGGGAGGAGGGCGGAGAGAGGAGAAAGGGAGAGGTCAAGGGGAGGTTGGGCCTAAGGGAAGAAGGGCAAAGAGTGCTCCTTCAGGAAGCAGCTTTGCACACAGGAGTGGGGTGGGGTGAATGGGGGAGAGAGGAGAGGAGGGGAGAGCGGAGAGGAGAGGAGAGCTGAGAGAAGGGGAGAGAGGGGAGGAGTGGAGGAAGAGATGAGGGAGAGGAGAAAGAGTGGAGAGCGGAGAGGACGGGAGAGATGAGAGGAGGGGAGGGAGGGGAGGAGTGGAGGAAGAGATGAGGGAGAGGAAAAAGAGTGGAGAGCGGAGAGGACGGGAGAGATGAGAGGAGGGGAGAGAGGGGAGGCAGGGAGGGAGGAGTGGAGGGAACAGGGTAGTGGGGGGCAGAAAGGAGGGGAGGGGAGGGAGGGAGGAAGGGAGGGAGGTAGGCAGGGAGGTGGGCAGGAAGGCAGGGCGGGATGGCAAGAGCAGGGGACTCACAGGCGGCGCAGAGAGCGGAGAGAGGAGAAGAGGGAGATGGTGGAGAGGTCCCCAGAGATTTTGTGCGCACTGGTGATGTCCCTGCAAGAGAGGCACGATGGCAGGTGGGCGATGATGGCATGGGGGTTGGGCAACACATGACGGAGAGTGGATGGCAGCATGGGTGGATGGCATGGCAGCATGGGTGGATGGCATGGCAGCATGGGTGGATGGCATGGCAGCATGGGTGGATGGCTGGCAGCATGGGTGGATGGCATGGCAGCATGGGTGGATGGCATGGCACCATGGGTGGATGGCATGGCAGCATGGGTGGATGGCATGGCACCATGGGTGGATGGCATGGCAGCATGGGTGAATGGAGAGCGTGAGAAGGGCACTGGGTGGGTGGTGGGAACTGGGATGGCTCACAGCGAGTGCAGGTTGGTGAGGAGGGAGAGCCACGTGTACTGACTCATGGCTCCTCTCAGGTTGTACACCTGCCGTAGCGACCTGATGGCGAGGAGGGGGGAGAGGAGAACACAGCGGGGGGGGTGCTGCGCTGTGAGAACATGAGGGGGGACGCTGGCACGATAGGTTGTAGAGTAATGGACGATTGAAAGACAGAGGATTCGTTGACCGATGGAGGATTGCGTTTGGAGATAGAAGAATGCGTTGGGAATGCTGGAGGGGGTCATGCGGGGGACACTGGCCTGGCACGCTTAGAGCACATTGGGATTCAGGAATGTTGAAGGGCGCGGTGAGGAAGATGTGGGAAAAGGCAGCAAAGGATCCTGATGAAGGGGAGGGAGAGGCGTACAGATACGAGAGAGCGGAGAGTTGGCTCATGGTGGCTGGCAGGCTCCCTGAGACCTGCGTGAGAGTCAGGTCCCTGCAGCACAGCACCGCACCGCACAGTAGAAAGGGTCAGGTGCGGTGGTGTGCTGTAAAAGGTCACACAAGACGGCACAGGCAGAGCAGACGTGCGTGAGATTCAGTTCAGGTCCTTCCAGCACAGCAGAATGGGGAAGGTGAGGAGCTGAGCTGTGCTGTGAAAGGTCGCACAAGCATGGTATGGTACGACCCAGGCAGAGCGGACTGTGTGGTGGGGTGGGGTGGGCGAGTGATTATTTCCCCTGCACAAGGATAACAAGGGAAGAGGTTGGTCCTTGCTTGGGCTGCCAGGAACACAAGGAAAGGGGGTAAGACCATCAGTGCGTCTTGGTCTGGCACTTGTAGATCCGTTTGGTGGGGCACATGTTGATATTGCTTGCTGCTTGAGGCGTGTCAGAGCGGTCATGCCCTGGGGTCAATGGGTGAAGAACACGGGGCAATGCACCTCTTTATTGAAGAAGTGTTTTGAGACGTCCCAAAACACTTCTTCAATCGCGTGTCAGAGCGGTCATGCCCTGGGGTCAATGGGTGAAGAACACGGGGCAATGCACCTCTTTGGCGGTGTCACAGGGAACGTGGCACCGTTAGTGCGGAGCGCATGGCTTACAAGTGGCGGAGGCGAGAGAGGGAGGAGATGGCAGAAGGGATGGATCCACTAATTTGGGTGTTGGATAAGTCGCTGTGGGGGGGCATGAGATGAGAGGGGTGGTGAGAGGATTAGGGCGCGTATGAGGGAGGGTATGATAAGCATGGTGGGTTGATACAAGAGGGATGAGATGGGAGATAGAAGGGGGGCCAAAGAGAGTCTTGGCGCGAGGAGAAGGGCAGTGAGGCATGTCAAGGTGCTTCCACAACAAAGGGAGAAAAGAATCAGGAGTGCGTGGGCGTGGGCAGGGCACTGTTGGGAATGGGATAGTGTGAGGGCGGGGCACGCATGAGGGCGGGGCAAGCATGAGGGCAGGGCAAGCATGAGGGCAGCAGGGTGCGTGTGAGCTGACTCACACTTGTTGCAGCAGCGGCAGCGATGTGAGCACGTTGATGGACCCTGTCAGATCCATGTTGAATGAGAGGTTCCTGGGGAGAGATGGTGAGATGATGCATGCAAGCTCACAGGGGGCATGGGTCATAGGGCATGGAGCAGGCCGGGCATGGGGCATGGGGCATGGGGAATGCAAAATGGGGCATGGAGCGTGGGGCATGCGGAATGAGGCATGGAGCATGACGGAATGAGCGCGGGGGCGTAGCAGAGGGTGTACAGACATGAGGCGTGGAGTTGAGGGGGCACGAGGCTTGGGATAAACGGGTTACAAGATGGCAAGCGAGCCACTATTGCGATAAGGAATACAAGATGAGATGGCACAGCCGCCGGAATACAATACGGCAAGACGTTTCCAACGTTTGAGCTTGACTCACAGGGCTTTAAGCTGCTTGAGCTGAGCGAATGCATCCAGCGGCAGGGCGTTGCTGAAATAATTGTATGACAGATCCCTGCACGCGACGCCATGCCATAGCATGACATGCCGTGCAACGCCAATCCATGACCACGCAAGACGGGGCGAGCAGGAAAGAGGGAACGCGGGACAGAGAGAAAAAGTGGAAGGGGGAAAACGGGACAGAGGGAAAGAGTGAAAGAGGGAAAAGCGGGATAGAGGAAGGAAGGGAACAAGCGGGGGCGGAAGGTAGTGGATAGAGCACCTTGTGAAAGAACAAGTTGTTATGAGGTGCATACTCGTTAAAGGCATGCTCACTGCAGTAAGTAATGAGTGTGCGCGCAACAGTCACATCAACTGCAATGCGCCCGTGCTATGCTCGCCATGCTCACAATTGCTGCAGGGCAGTGAGCATGCGAATGTCGGCGGGAATGACGCTTGATACACCCACACCAGCCACAGAGCTGCGAGGGAGGACGTGTGGAGGGGAACCGGAAGGAAGGGCATGTGAGGCGCGCAAGAGGAGCGAAGAGCAATTCACGCAAGTAGCTCATCCCTGTAAAGGATGCTGATAGGGAGATGAATTGTGCAGATTACACGTTGCAGGCATGCATAGCACCTACGAGGGACGCGACTAGAACGTGAGTGACAGGAATACAAGTTTTCGGAAATAAAATACTTTCCAAGTCGTTTTCACGCATGTTATTTTCATGTCACTTCGGTAAGGTCATTTCCACGAATGTCACTCCCAAGAATGTCACTCACAGAGCAGAGACTCGGCCTTGCGCGTCGCACGTGACGCCCGTCCACTGCGCGCAAGCAGGCGTGCTGGCGCCATTGCCAGTCCACGCCTTCCACAAGCGGTTCAGCGCTACCAGCGCTCTCACTGCACGCCGCGTGACGGCCAAGGTCCATGGAGAGGCGAGAGGGAATCAATGCAAACGGAAAGGGGTAGAAGAGAAGAAATGTTGTGTTTGCGAGCACGCCTGATTGTTTCCGGATTAACAGACGACGCCGATTGCCAATTGAGAAACGATCACGCTTGGTGATGAGAGACGCTACAAGCGAGCACGCGTTGCTGAATCGTCTCACTGACGCTGCGAGGGAGCCAGATGGATGTCAGCCATGCTGGTAGAGGTACCGACGGAACTGACACCCGACACGTAGCTCCATGATGCTTGCACGCTGTTCGTCGATTCCTCGTCCGTCTTTCGCGGAGAGACGTGGAATCCGGCGGTCGCGGGAGGAGCGAGCACTAAGCAGGCGTGCACGGCGATAAGCAAGGGGACGAGTCGTGGGAAGAGCACCCGACGACATGGTTTTTCCACGCGCTGACGCGGTAGCGACGACGAGACGCACGTCACGCTGATCATACTCGGTAGTCTAGCTTGAAGTATCCGAGATAACGCGGGAAGATAATGGCGCTGGGCGCTAACGAGCTTATTCAACCGCGTCATTCCCTAATGCGTTTGTTTCGAGCTGCCGAGCCAACGGAAAACACTAGGAGGTTGCGTGTGGCTGTGTGTGTCATGTTTGCGATTCTATGCTTGCACCTCGCGCATCCCCTGCTTTGACATGACGAGGACGCCATGAGCTTAGACAGAGGGTTATGAAGCTGGTGGTACAAGCCAAGGAAGCTAGCCACAGAAGGGCATGGATGGCAACACAGAGCACATCCCTGAACCTTACCTGACAACAGAAGAAGAAAGGAAGGAAAAAGCGTTGCCTGTAATGGACGGCACGCACAGGGAATGCCGCCGAATCCAGCAGCAAAAACAGTCCCACTAATGTACACGTGAAACAATTCATGCATCTGTTGTATATAGATTTAGTGATGAACAATCCAACGTTAAGTTTTAAAGACACATAATATCTTCAGAATGTTCACTCTAGATATGTATATTGTAGTACAACTGTAGATTTTTTTAAACATTCCTTACCGCGTAAGTAGACCGCATACAGAAGCAGCCGTTGCTCGCCGATTACTACTAACAGACTTGGTCCAGGTGACGACTTGATCCATTTGAGTAACATGGTCCAAGTGAGCGACTTGGTCCAAGTGACGACTTGGTCCAAGTGAGCGAATTGGTCCAAGAGAGGACATAATCCAAGTGAATAACTTGGTCCAAGTGAGCGACTTGGTTCAAGTGACGACTTGGTCTAAGTGGCGACTGTCAGAGGTCCACTGGTGATCCCCGATTGATCCTAAGGAAGGGTTACAGGCACGTTGGCCTGGGGGGTTATGGGCGCACTCACCCGCTACACAAACAAGCCCTTTTATCCCAGTGGTTAGTGGCTGGGATTCTGACATGGTATCAGAGCGAAGGTCTCGGGTTCGAATCCCGGTGTGTGCACCTCGGGCATCCCAGTGCGGGGGGGTGTCAGAGGTCCACTGGTGATCCCCGATTGATCCTAGGGAAGGGTTACAGGCACGTTGGCCTGGGGGGTTATGGGCGCACTCACCCGCTACACAAACAAGCCCTTTTATCCCAGTGGTTAGTGGCTGGGATTCTGACAGCGACTTCGTCCAAATAAGCGACTCGGTCCAAGCAACGACTTGGTCTAAGAAAGCGACTTGGTCCAAGGGAGCGACTTGATCCAAGTGACGATTTGGTCCAAGTGACGAATTGGTCCAAGTTAGCACTTAATCCAAGTGGGCGACTTGGTCTAAGTGAGCACTTGGTCCTAGTGAGCACTTGGTTGAAGTGAGCACTTGGTCCAAGCGAGCACTTGGTCCAAGTGACGACTTGGTCCCAGTAACGATTTGGTCCAAGTGACGACTTGGTCCAAGTGAGCGACTTGGTCAAAGTGAGCGACTTGGTCCAAGTGAGCGACTTGGTCCAAGTGACGACTTGGTCCAAGTGACGACTTGGTCCAAGTGGCGACTTGGTAAAAGTGACGACTTGGTCCAAGTGAGCGACTTGGTCCAAGTGACGACTTGGTCCAAATGACGACTTGGTCCAGCTGAGCACTTGGTCCAAGTGACGACTTGGTCCAAGTGACGACTTGGTCCAGTCAGCACTTGGTATAAGTGACGACTTGGTCCAAGTGAGCGACTTGATCCAAGTGACGACTTGGTCCAGCTGAGCACTTGGTGCAAGTGACGACTTGGTCCAAATGACGACTTGGTCCACCTGAGCACTTGGTCCAAGTGACGATTTCGTCCAAGTGACGACTTGGTCCAAGTGAATACTTGGTCCAGTGAGCACTAGGTATAAGAGACGACTTGGTCCAAGTGAGCGACTTGATCCAAGTGATGACTTGGTCCAAGTGACGACTTGGTCCAAGAGACGACTTGGTCCAAATAAGCAACTTGGTCCAAGTGACGACTTGGTCCAAGTGACGACTTGGTCCAAGCGAACGACTTGGTCCAAGCGAGCGACTTGGTCCAAGTGACGACTTGGTCCAAGTGACGACTTGGTCCAACTAAAGACTTGGTCCATTTGACGACTTGTTCCAAGTGAGCACCTGGTCCAAGTGAGCACTTGGTCCAAGAAAGCGACTTGGTCCAACTGAGCACTTGGTCCAAGTGACGACTTGGTCCAAGTGAAAACTTGGTCCAAGTGAGCGACTTGGTCCAAGCGACGATTTGGTCTAAGTGAGCGACTTGGTCCAAGTGACGACTTGGTCCAAGTGAGCGACTTGATCCAAGTGACGACTAGGTCCAAGTGAAGAATTGGTCCAACTGAATACTTGGTCCAACTTAGCACTTTGTCCAAGCGAGCGACTTGGTCCAAGTGAGCACTTGGTCCAAGTGAGCACTTGGTCCAAGTTAGCACTTGGTCCAAGTGACGACTTGGTACAGGTGACGACTTGGTCCAAGTGAGCGACTTGGTCCAGGTGAGCAACTTGGTCCAAGTGAGCACTTGGTCGAAGTGACGACTTGGTCCAAGTGATGCCTTGGTGCAAGTGACGACTTGGTCCAGGTGATGACTTAGTCCAAGTGAGCGACTTGGTCCAAGTGGCGAATTGGTCCAAGTGACGAATTGGTCCAAGTTAGCACTTGGTCCAAGTAAGCGACTTGGTCCAAGAGGGCACTTGGCCCAAGTGAGCACTTGGTCCAAAAGAGCACTTGGTCCAAGAGAGCACTTGGTCCGAGTGACGACTTGGTCCAAGTGAGCACTTGGACCAAGTGACGACTTGGTCCAAGTGAGCGACTTGGTCCAAGTGAGCGACTTGGTCCAAGTGAGCACTTGGTCCAAGTCAGCGCTTGGTCCAAGTGACGATTTGGTCCAAGTGACGACTTGGTCAAAGTGACGACTTGGTCCAGGTGACGACTTGGTCCAAGTGAGCGACTTGGTCCAAGTGACAACTTGGTCCAAGTGAGCGACTTGGTCCAAGTGACGACTTGGTCCAAGTGAACGACTTGGTCCAAGTGACGACTTGGTCCAAGTGAGCGACTTGGTCCAAGTGAAGACTTAGTCCGTCTGACGACTTGCTCCAAGTGAGCACTTGGTCCAAGTGATGACTTGGTCCAAGTGATGACTTGGTCCAAGTGAGCGACTTGGTCCAAGTGAAGACTTGGTCTATCTGACGACTTGGTCCAAGTGAGCACTTGGTCCAAGTGAGCGACTTGGTCCAAGTGAGAACTTGTTCTAAGTGAGCACTTGGTTCATGTGACGACTTGGTCCAAGTGAGCGACTTGGTCAAAGTGACGACTTGGTCTAAGTGAGCACTTGGTCTAAGAGACGACTTGGTCCAAATGAGCGACTTGGTCCAATTGACGACTTCGTCCAAGTGAACAACTTGGTCCAAGTGAGTGACTAAGTCCAAGTGACGACTTGGTCGAAGTGACGACTTGGTCCAAATGAGCGACTTGGTCCAATTGAGCGACTTTGTAAGTTACGACTTGGTCCAAGTGACGACTTGGTCCAAGTGACGATTTGGTCCAAGTGACGACTTGGTCGAAGTGAGCAACTTGGTCCAAGTGACGACTTGGTCCAAGTGACGACTTGGTCCAAGTGAGTGACTTGGTCCAAGTGAGCGACTTGGTCCAAGTGAGCGACTTGGTCCAAGTGACGACTTGGTCCAAGTAACGACTTGGTCCAGCAAAGCACTTGGTCCAAGAGGCGACATGGTCCAAGTGACGACTTGGTCCAAGTGAATACTTGGTCCAGTGAGCACTTGGTATAAGTGACGACTTGGTCGAAGCGAGCGACTTGGTCCAAGTGACGACTTGGTCTTGCTGAGCACTTGCTCCAAGTAACGACATGGTCCAAGTGAATACTTGGTCCAGTGAGCACTTGGTATAAGAGACGACTTGGTCCAAGTGAGCGACTTGATCCAAGTGATGACTT